GCTATGGGAACTGGGCAGGACACAAACCCCAATGAGCAGGCCCTACTGTTACAGTTTAGTCCATTATCATCATGGTAGGAAGCATGGCAGCATGCAGACAGACATGGTGCTGGAAAGATAACTGAGAGTTCTACACCTGGATCAGCAGGCAGCATGAAAAGAGAGTGAGCCATTAGGCCTGGCTTGTGCTTCTGAAACCTCACAGCCCACCCACAGTGACACACTTCCTCCAACAAAGCCACACCTACCCCAATAAGGCCACACCTCCTAATAGTGGCACTCCTTATGGGTCCTATGGGGGCCGTTTTCATTCAAACCACCACACATGGTAAATGCCTTAATAAATGTCAGCAAATGGATATCCCTCTCAGCCTCCATGGGCCATGTGCCCACTTCCTCTTTTCCTATTGAGGCCCTGTCTGTGGCCACAGTGTTGGGCTCTACTATAGTGAAGGTAGCTGAGATGTTCTTAGAGGTCATGGCCCATAATGGTTTTTGTCCACATCTGAGACATAATTGCTCAGTGTTTCCAAAGCTCTGTCTTAGTGATTTTTCCTGTGCTGAGATAAAACACCCTGACAGAAACAGCTCAAGAGAGGAAAGGTTGGTTCAGTGCACATCTCCAGGGCACAGTTCATCACAGTGGGCAAGCACTGATAGCAGGGGCTTGAGGTAGCTATGTAGTAAGGGAGCAATGACATCTACCAATCAATCTATCATCATCTATCTACCTACCTATCATCTGTCTACCTCTTATCTATCATTCATCAATTATCAGATTGCACACCCCCTAGGAGGACCATGACCACAGCACTCTCTTCCTCACTTTTAGAGGACTCTGTGGCCACCCCCAATGTCTCAAGGTTGTAACAGACTTTATCGGATCACCAGCTCCCAAATTATGACAAAGAGACTTATCATTAGTTATGAATCCTCAACCTTACCATATGATTATCCCACTAGCTCTTATAACTTAATTTAATCTCTTTCTCTTCACCTATGTCTTGCCTTTGGGGATTTTTATCTTTCATTCTGAATGTTCTACTACGTGGCTGGCTGGCTGGCAGCTGCCTGGATGTCTGGCCCCAGGCATCTTCCTCTCTTTCTTCCTCATTCTTTAACTTATTGAATCTAAATTCCTCCTCCTCCTTATTCTCTCTGCCCACCAGCCCTGCCTATCCCTCTACTGTTGTAGGAGGCTGCTTGTTTGTCCCAGCCTCCCAGAACCTAAATAACCACACAGAAACTATATTATTAAGTCACTGTTTGGCCCATTAGCTCTAACTTCTTATTGGCTAACTTTTACATCTTAATTTAACCCATTTCCATTAATCTGTGTATTGCCACATGGCTGTGGCTTACCGGGTAAAATTCTGTCTGGCTCCAGTGGGCCACATTGCTTCTCTTCACTCTGCCTTCTTTCTCCCAGCATTCAGTTTAGTTTTCCCTGCCTACCTATATTCTGCCCTGTGCGGGCCTAAGACAATTTCTTTGTTAACCAATGATATTCACAGCATACAGCGGGGAATCTCACATCATTCTACTGCCTGGCTATTTGCTGTTCAGCTTTTAATTAGAACAACCAGGTGCCTAAGACACACAAGGTAAAATAGCAACACATCTTTACATAATTAAGCAAATGCAGCGTAAACAAATGTAACACACCTTTGTCTAGTTAAACAAATGCAAAATAAACAAAACACACCTTTACATAGTAAAATATTCCACAACATAAACAAATGTAACACATCTTTATATAGTTAATTTAATACTCCCCAATGTAAGGTCTGATCTCCGGGGATGTTGGTAGGACCTCCAGAAATGCTGTGGTGTATTTACCAAAGAATATTGCCCAAGCATGAGTTAAAGCCAGCAGAGTCTTTATTAGTCATTCAGTGACCACTGGGTGTCCGGGATCCCAGTGCAGCACTGAGCCTTTCTCAGGGTGAACTTTGAAGCACAAAAACCGTATCTTAGGTTGACAGACTTCGGTTAACAAGAGCAGTCAGCCAGAGGCTGAACTACAGAAGCCAAAAAGCAAACTTAGTACATTTAGAGAGTTTCCCAGAACTATGGACTTTGATGGATTAGGTCTTTGTTTCATTTTGGCCAGTGGTGTTATCTACAAGCTAAGTTTTATAGCCTGAATGGTACTTTCATCATGGAGTCTGTTGTGCGAGGGGCTGGGGACCTGTTAGAATGCTGAGACATTTCACTTTTACAAAGATCGCAAGACAGGTAACATTATTGCCCTGACTGTGAATGGAAGCTAGCCTTGTTATTTTTCAATTTTAAACAACACCTGCTACATTTCCGCATCAATATTAATCGGAAAAACACATGTGGAAGCTCTTTGACACTGGGGACTTGTGAGAGAAACAGCGTAGTTGGTAAAGTGCCTGAGGAAGGATCACTAGCCTCCACGTACACCTGCACCCACACTCTCACACGCAAACACTTGCACACACGCACACACACAGAGTTCCTTAGCACCATATGTGGTGGTACACAACTGTAACCCCAGCCCTTAGGAAGCTGAGGGAATAGAATCACAAATCCAAGGTCAGCCTGGGTTGCAAAGAAATACCTTGTTTCAAAACACCAGATCACACACACAAAAATAATAAATGTAAATAGATAGATAACTTTCTTTGTTAATCTTTAGGTGTGGAAAGAGGTTTGGAGACTCAAGCGTTTGAGAAGGGCTAAGGGCTGATTGTCCCTAATGTTTTGTATCCTTTCTCTTTGATGCAATTCTGTATGACAATTCTTTATTCTCAGTCCTGGAACCCCTGCTGCAAAAGTGGACTTCTGCTGCCCTCAGCTTGCCGTCCCCACACCCTCTGTTGGTATTTTCTCTACTAAACTACAACCCTCTCCCTTCTCCCCACTTGCTCTCTCTCTCACCTCTTTCTCTTTGGTCTCTCTCCCTTTCTCTTTGTTTCTTTTCTCTTTCCTTTCCTGTTTTTCTGGGGTTTATTCGCCCCATCTTCCTTTTGTATCAGCATAATGATATTTTAAAGCGACTCTTTCTTGTTCCCTATAATTTCTCTGTTAAGTACCTTTTTAAAATATAACTTTCTACAGCCAAGTCAATGATTCCACTGTTAATCAGATGAGGCTAAGACATGGGTCTTATTTTCTCCCCGTAGAGAAGAAAAAGGAGTCCAGTCTGTCATGTGTCTTAGTAACATAGGGCTTTTCTAACGACAGTCGTCAGCCTGGCAGTCCTGACAACTGAATGCAGCTCCTACTTACATTTCAGCCTTTCTATTTTGGTTTACTGCGCCCTCGGCTCCTGCTCTCTGCTGTTCTCAAACCCTATTGTCTTCCGGAAGCAACCCTCACAGCTGTGGCCTCTGTTGACAAATTGTTTCATCTCCTCTGGGCCTTAAATTATTTTCTCTGAAGTGAAAAGTCACTGGATATTTCCAGAGACTCTTGGGGTCATCATTTGGCTTCTCGGAACTCTGAGTGGTTCCAGTCTCTCCCACCCTCCGCCCACAGCCCGTCTCAGAGGACTCACTCTTGATACTACAACTTCCCTGCAGCTCTACTGTAACTCCCAGAGTCGAGGATTGCCTTTGTACTGGGGTGGCTTTCATGGTTTGGATAGTTGGTTTTACATAGAAGAACTTAACAATGACAAGTCTTAAATTCTTTAATAAAATCTTGCTGCAGATATACAAAGGTGGTTATTTCTGTCTTGTCATGATAATCAGTTCTTTATGTCTGGGGTGTCTCCCCTCTCGATCCTTCTCTTGGATCATTTTTACCTGCATTATTTTGCTTCACACATAGAACCTTAGGACCTTAGGACTACAGTCCTGAAATCCCCACTGTTTAAGAGGCTGAGGCAGGAGGATCACAAGTCTGAAGCCACAGAGCAGGTTCAAGGCCAGCCTGGGCAATTTACAGAGACCCAGTCTCAAAGCAGAGGTAAAAAGAAGGTTGGCACTGTGGCTTACAGGGGAGCAGACTGGCCATAGTCAGGAATAGTCGGGATCTTCTGGGCTAGCCTCTTCTTCCCAGCATCCTCTGTGCCCCTTGCTCCTCCCTAGTATTTGCATAACCCAGTTTAACAACCTGCTGTCTTTCTTCCTGTTTTGGCACCCACCGTCCCCTCTTTATTCTCTGTTAAAGTAATAAGGGTATGTCCCGTTGCACTTGCCTAAGAGTCTTGAACTGAGCTTGGGTTTCCCGCCATCTGGGTCTGGCTCAGTTGCAACTTCCCTTTGATGTTGTAATGCCTTTTCATTGAACTCGAGTGTGGCGTTTATATGGCTTGTTTGCTTTAATTTTTTTTCTCCTAAGACATGCACATTTTTTTCTTGAGCTTATTTTGCTGTTTTGTGCTGTTACTTTTAATTGCTTCTGACTAGGGGTTGGGGCTGAGGGTGAGATTTGGCTTGAGTTTGCCTCTGTTTGGTATTACTCACACACGCCCCCCCAAAGTCCCACATTCTTAGGAACTCTTAGGTGCATGTCTCTCTCTCCTCCCTCTTCCTCTCTCTCTTTCTCCCTCCCTCTTCCTCTCTCTCTCTCTCCCCCCTCTCTCCCTCTTCCTCTCTCTCTCTCCCTCCCTCTTCCCCTCTCTCTCTCTCTCTCTCTCTCTCTCTCTCTCTCTCTCTCTCCCTCTCTCTCTCCCCCCCCCCCCCCCCTCCTCTCTCCCCCTCTCTCCCTCCCTCTTCCCCTCTCTCTCTCTCTCTCTCTCTCTCTCTCTCTCTCTCTCTCTCCCTCTATCTCTCCCTCTCTCCCTCTCTCAATCTGACAACCCACTCCTGCGAGGCCACTGATGCCGTATGCAGAGGACGTCAGTAGGAGATGCTCAGGATCCCAGCCCTGCGCAGTCATGAGCCTGGCCATCTGGAACTCGCCTCTTACTCAATGAAATGGAGTAAACATTGTCCATTATGAAATCCACCACGCAGGCTGCCAGAGACGAATGGGATCCCACCCAAGGCCAATCGCTGCTCTGACAGGGAAGTTGGCTGGTGCTGCCTGAGACTACTCCAGCCTCCCCCGTCCCTGATGTCACAATTCAGAGGCTGCTGCCTGCCTGGGAAGTTGTAGAAAGCTCTACAGGTTTTCTCTGTGTGTCCTACAGGGCTCCCTGAGCCAGGTCCTTGACTGATGGCATTCCCGAAAAAATACCTGCTCCCCATTCTGGTTCTCTTCTTGGGCTACTACTATTCTACAGTAGAAGAGTTCAGACCCGGTGAGTACCAATGTGTCTCTTTCAGAGGAACAGGCTTAAAACAGAGGGGTGCTGGAATGTTCCTGAGGATCTAACTGAGTTTTTCATCCCTAAGTCACTGGGAAGGAGGGAACCCTAATGTGGGTCTGTAACTCTGTGCCCTCCAACTACAAGCTGGGCAAGAAGGGGTATAGAGGAGTAAGCCACACAGCCAAGTAGGCCTTGCTTCGCTTGGCACCCAGCTTGGAAAGCAATTTCAGACCTACAGAAGTGAGACCCGCAGCTCAACTGGAGATAGCTCGTGGAGAAACTGATATCTGAGAGGCCAAAATTTAAAAAAAAATCTAAGGGGTTATGAAGTTGATGACTAAGCAGAAGGGGCTGAAATCTCTGTGAACACATTTTTGTGATGCCTTTTAAAATTCCCTTTCAATTTAGCAAAACTGAAAATCATGCTGAAAGTGTCAAACTCGGGCAGTTTAGCCGAACTCTGACCTTTCTGGCCTTGTCTCTGTGCTGTCTGCACATGGAGGTTTTTCAGAAGAATGGCAGGAAGATTCGGCTCTGGACATCCAGGCCAAACCCGACTGAAGTGCCTGTTTATGAACAACTCCAAGTGTTGCTTCAGTGGTTGACATTGTGAGGCAAACTGATCTGGGCTCATGGCCTTTCAGTATGGACAGTGAGACAAGGCTTTTGGGGGTACTCACAGCCTTTGTGGTTCCCAGAAATGCTCCAAGGAAAGAAAGTGATTGTCACGGGGGCCAGCAAAGGGATCGGAAGAGAAATGGCCTATCACCTATCACAAATGGGAGCCCATGTGGTACTGACTGCGAGGTCAGAGGAAGGTCTCCAGAAGGTGAGCTTTCTGTACCCACGTAAGTAAGTGTGCCCTCCTCCCTCGTGGCTCGTTCTCTGATATACAGGCACAGATACTCACAGCAATATAGGACTGCTGCTTTTAAGCTTACATACACACACGTGAGTGCATTTACACTTGCATGCATGCACACACACACATGCATTCATGCATGTGCGCAGTGATAGCCACAGAGTTCTCTGGTTGCATATGTTCACAGTCATACCTGTTCACACACATTGCTCATGGACCTGTACAGATGCATACATTCGGGGACTGAGATTCCTGTACCTGCTCATGCATTTATGTTGTCATGCCCCATAGACTCGCAAACGTGAAAGTTCTGGGTCATACCAACATTCACAAGCCCCACTCTATCTCCATAGAAACCTGCTCCCACGCCCATAACGCATTTTGAAACATCTGTTAATAAACTCTGCAGAGATGAATCATGGACTCAAGCTCTAACACAACAATGATTTATCCTTTTAAGATATGTCAGAGAACCCACACACTGAGACAATGGGGATGTTCTATCGGGAACTCACCAAGGCCAGCTGGCCTGGGTCTGAAAAAGCCTGGGTTAAAACCGGTCTCGCTGAACATAGCGGACAATGAGGACTACTGAGACCTCAAGAACAATGGCAATGGGTTTTTGATCCTACTGCACCTATTGGTTTTGTGGGAGCCTAGGCAGTTTGGATGCTCACCTTACTAGACCTGGATGAAGGTGGGTGGGCCTTGGACTTCCCACAGGGCAGGGAACCCTGATTGCTCTTTGGGCTGACAAGGGAGGGGGACTTGATTGGGGGAGGAGGAGGGAAAGTGGAGGCGGTGGTGGGGAAGAAACAGAAATCTTTAATTAATTCATAAATAAATAAATAGAAGAAAAACCAAAAAAAAAGATATGTCAGAGAACAATGATCATCTAAGACTATTTAAGAAGCCCTCCCCGAATACACGCGCGCACACACAGCTTCTTATTTAAGCAGCTCTGTGAGCAAACTCTCATGTAAGCCCCAGTTACTCCAAAACTACACATGAAAGCCCACAGCCAAGATGGCCACCATTTCTGCTGTTTCTCTGTAGGTGGTGTCTCGCTGCCTTGAACTCGGAGCAGCCTCTGCCCACTATGTGGCTGGTACCATGGAAGACATGGCGTTTGCAGAGCAGTTTGTCCACAAAGCAGGAAAGCTCATGGGTAAGACTCCCCTTCCCTTTTCCTCCTCTGGTCTTAGAGTGTTTCAGGAATGGGAAAGGAACAAGATGGGCCCCAAGTGGTCTCTCTCAACCCAGACATCTCTCTTCAGGTGGATTGGACATGCTCATTCTCAACCACATCAGTTACTCCCCTCTGGGTTTCTTCCGTGATGATATCAACACCGTGCGCAAATCCATGGAGGTCAACTTCTTCAGCTACGTGGTCATGAGTGCTGCAGCCTTGCCCATGCTGAAGCAGAGCAGCGGCAGCATTGCTGTGGTCTCCTCCGTAGCTGGTGAGTGCATGGGGCAAGGGTATACGCTGAGAACAAAGTAAGGCCAGGATTATGCTAGGCTCTGTGACAAGGCAAGGTGATAGTATGCAAAAGCCAATAGAACACAAACAAGGTCACTCATGAGGGACTCGGGGTGTAAACTCTGCAAGGGACATGGATGTTGAAGAAAAGAGACACTGAGGAATGAGTGGCCCCCAAAGTAAGGATGGGTCAACGTAGACTGCAAAATCCCTGAGAGGAACCGACAAAAGCAGCAGTCCAGGATGCCCAAGGGAAGCCTGAAGTGTGAGCCATGCCTGGGAGAGGACGGGGACAGGAAGAGCCACTAAGGCACAGCAGTCCTGTCTCTTCATAAGAGAGACCTGGTCATACTGGATGGGAAAGACTTTGCTTCCATCATAACCAAAAGCCACAGATGGCCAGGTCAGTGGAGACAAAACAGAAGTAAGAATAAAACACCTTCGGGACATACGGTAAGATGCTGAGCTAGGGGAAAACGAACTGAAGACTAACTATGGAGAGGAAAATTGTTCAACAACAGTGGTTTCTCAACCTCCCTAATCTGCGACCCTTTAATGCCTTTCCTCATGTTGTAGTGACCCCCAACCATGAAATTATTTTGTTGTTACTTCATAGTTGCACTTTTGCTACTGCTATGACAGCAATGTAAATATTTGATGTGCAGGATATCTGATACCGTGTGGTACAGGACTGGGGGTGCTTGTCCAGCATGCGCCAGCCTTGATGTTAGTCCCCAGTACTGTGGGGAGAGGGCTGGGGTATCAGTGTATGCTGAGTACATTCTTCTAAACCTCAATCTGTAGCGTTCAAAATGAAATCTAGTCTGAGCTTGGTGACACACGCCTTTAATCCTACCACTTGTGAGGCTAAGGCAGGTGAACTCGGGGACAGCCTGGTCCACAAAAGGAGTTCTAGGCCAGTCTAGTCTATATAGTAAGACCCTGTCTCAAAAAGAAAAAAGGTGATATTTAAGCAGGTTAAGAAATGTGCAAAGAAATGATCTCACGGCTAGAGCGCAGTGGCATGGAGGGAGGTCCCCAATGTCTTCCATGGTGGCAGCATCCAACATCACTGAGTCTCCAGAGATGAGGATTCCTCCTGGACTCAGGGCAGAAGTCCTACATGTTTGCTGATTAGTAAAGGCGTGGTTGAAAGATCAGAACACAGAGATATAAACCAGCCTTATAAATGTAGTTCTTCTTATATAAAAAACTAATGAGCTAGGCGACCATGGACTGTTAAATAGTTCGCCAATGTCAGTTCCCCTTGAAATGAACAAGGCCGTCCGTCGGTGTGGTAAAGCAACCTCCTTTCTGGCCCAGGAAAGGCCTGCCTGGTGACTGGATAAAGGGACAGTGTGTCTGTGTGATTGATATGCACCCCTGTGCCTCCAACCAGCACAGACTCAGGCCCCTCCTCTCCCACAGACATGCTGGGCTGGAAGCAAAGGGGAGCTTCCAGATGCATACTGAGTGGGAGGGTGCTGGGCACATCCCCAGCGAGTCCAGCACTGGCCAATGTCATGGTGTGGGTGGCTCTAATGATTCCCTATTCCGGACATGAATGGAGACATACAGTCCCAGCAAAAGCTGCTTCACCTTTGCCTAGAGAAGGTAACCTTTACAGGGTATATCATCTGCATGTGCTTGGAAGGAGCACGGGTCACTGTAGACCCTAAGGGTCTGTGGGAATTCTGACAACCTGTGTTTCTGGACAGCACAGGCATGTGCAGAGTGACACTTAGTACCTTCCATGGGCTCAAGGAGGTAGAAATAGGGTTGCGCAGGGCTCCCTGTGTATGTCTTCTGTGCAGCCCAGAGTTCAGCCTTCTTGCTTTAAATCACATCTCTGAATTTACAAAGTAACTTCTCACCCTCACAGAAGAGCATTGTGTTCCGTGGTGTGCATGTGTGTAGTGCCTATGTAATGTACAAGTGCATGCATGCCAGAGGCTGACATCAGGTGCCTTCTCCAACCCCTCCCCACCGTCCTTTTTGGAGGCAGGGTCTTTCACGAGAACCTGGAGCTCACTGATTTGGCGAGACTGGCTGGCCAACAAGCCCCAGGGATCTCCTGTCTCCTCCTCCACAGTGATGGGGTTCATAAATGTATGCTCGGCTTTTTTCTAATGTTGTGGTGGGGGCCTGCACTCAGGGTCTCATGTTTGAATGGCAAGCATGAGAACTGATGGAGCCATCTCCCCAGCCATGGTGTCTTCTTCTAAGCCATCAGGGAGTGTGTTTAGTTACCTTTATTTCCAAAACTCTGAATCTCACCAACATCTCATTAAAGAGCAAACTGACCCTGAGGTCAGAAGAAAGAATTCACTGAGTTAGAGTTCTAATCGCTGCCAGTGTGTTTCGTTTTCTCGCTGAGTAACAACACGGAGCAATCAACTTTTTCCGAATGCATTTCTGGGCATTACTTCACAGTGCACCTCTTTCTTCAGGCTTGGCTATGCCCTTAGTCCTCTCAGAGACGGTGCTGATGCTTGCACCCACAGCTCAGCACGTTTCCTGGCCCTACTGAACAAGTTCTTGTCTTTATCACAGACTGTTACATTAATCAGTCTCCCCTCTTCCCACCCTGGCCTCTTAAAACCTAAGTATAGCTCCTATAACTGAGGCCTTAAGCAAATCTAAACTCATTTTCTACTATGAACAGCCTAGGGTAGGCAGCCAAGGCTGGGAGGATAGCCCTTACCCCATGAAGCTATACAGCAATCAGCTGAGTCAGTACTACCAATTCTGTGGTGTTATGTCCATCTCCATGTCCAAGAAGGCTCACTGTTATGTCTGAATTCTAGCTACAGATAATGAAGGACACATTCTGAAACCTGTAACCCATTGGCCACAGCAGACTGCAGATGGGATCTGGTCAATATTCAACCAAGTATCAGGGTTTCTCCTTCTACAGAAGAACACAAATTTTGCTGAATCACTCCCTCCCTTACAACCCATGCCTGGAAACAGATAAGAGCAAAAGAAAATGATCCCAAGCATGCCTGTAAATCACACGAGTTACAGGCCGTTCTTGGTTACAGATTGAAACTTGGTCTTGAAAAAAAAGAAAGGAAGGAAGGAAATGGAAGGGAAGGGAAAAGAAAAAGAAAAAGAAAAAGAAAAAGAAAGGCTACAAGAAAATGTCCTCCCACACCCATTCTATTACAGTCAAGGCTGCCACATAAGTAAATCCCCACCCTGCCACGAAACATAGTGTCGAGGACAGGCGGGAAGGATGAGGCATGGAAAAAGCATGCCCAGCTGGTATTTCTGAAACTGAGAGCTAGTACCTGAATTTTACTTTTAAAAAAAAATCACTGGCTTTGAAGAAAACACTAGAAAATGTGTGGGAAAAGTCTACCTGCCGGTGGGTAAAGTGACGCCTCTGTTTTGCTCTAGAAGGTAATGCTGATTCCACTTTTCCTGGTTCTGTGGGCTCCATAACTATGACCCATTGTGCTAGTCACATGCATGGCACAGAAACTGGTATCTCTGTGGCTTTTCCAGTCCTCCTTAATGTGTGGTCTCTCTGAGGAGTCAGGGACAAGTCCATCATCTCTCCCTCCATCCTTTGCTCGGCTCCCTAAATCTGTCTATCCCCATGTCACAGTCTACCCCATGTATGTCACGGTCTACCCATGTATGTCACGGTCTACCCCATGCCATGGTCTTCCACATGCCACGGACTACCCCATGTTACAGACAGTCTTTTTTGTTTTTAGTTGTTTTTATTGAGCTCTACATTTTTCTCTGCTCCCCTCCCTTATTCTTACCTCCCCTTCTACCCTCTCCCATGGTCCCAACACTCCCAATTTAATCAGGAGATCTTGTCTTTTTCTACTTCCCATGCAGATTAGATCCATGTATGTCTCTTTTAGGGTCCTCTTTGTTGTCTAGGTTCTCTGGGATTGTGATTTGTAGGCTGATTTTCTTTGCTTTATGTCTAAAAACCACTTATAAGTGAGTACATGTGATAATTGTCTTTCTGGGTCTGGGTCACTTCAGTCAATATGTTTTTTTTTTTTTTCTAGATCCAACCATTTGCCCACAGATTTCAAGATGTCGTTATTTTTTCTTCTGTGTAGTACTCCATTGTGTAAATGTACCACATCTTCTTTATCCATTGTTTGGTTAAGGGGCATTTAGGTTCTGGTTATGACAAATAATGCTGCTATGAACATAGTTGAGCACATACCCTTATGGTATAATTGAGTATCCTTTGGGTATATACCCAAAAGTGGTATTGCTGGGTCTTAAGGTAGGTTGTTTCCTAATTTTCTGAGAAATCACCATACTGATTTCCAAAGTGGCTGTATCAGTTTGCACTCCCACCAGCAATGCAGGAGTGTTCCCTTTACCCCACATCCTCTCCAGCATAAGTTGTCATCAGTGTTTTTAATCTTGGATATTCTTTCAGGTGTAAGATGGAATCTCAGAGTTGTTTTGATTTGCATTTTTCTGATGGCTAAGGATGTTGAGCATTTCCTTAAGTGTCTTTCAGTCATTTTAGATTTCTATGTTGAGAGTTCTCTGTTTAGGTCTGTACTCCATTTTTTTAAATTGGATTATTTGTTCTATTGATGACCAATGTCTTGAGTTCTTTGTGTATTTTGGAGATCAGCCCTCTGTCTGATATGGTGTTGGTGAAGATCTTTTCCCATTCTGCAGGCTGCCTTTTTGTCTTGTTAGCTGTGTCCTTTGCTTTATAGAAGCTTCTCAGTTTCAGAAGGTCCCATTCATAGGCAGTCATTTCAGTGCACCAGAGAAATTTAAACAAATCCTCTGTCTTCACTCCATTCTGAAAGGTTACCTTTGGAAGTTATGTTCTCTCTCTCCTTCCCTCCCTCTCTCCCTCTCTCTCTCTCTCTCCACCTCTTCCCATCCACAATATTCCAATATTACTAACCATAAAACAAAAAATAAGCACCTGAGAAGATATAAATGGACAGATACAAGTTATTCCATATCAAGGAAAAC